CATCTTTTGGAAGAGTGTGAGAAGGATAGCTATTAACTCTTCTTTGAATGTTTGGTAGAATTCACCAGGGAAGCCATCTGGTCCTGGACTTTTTTTTTTTTTTTTTTTACTGTTTTGATCTCCTTACTGGTGATTGGTCTATTCAAATTCTCTATTTCTTTTTCATTCAGTTTTGGAAGGTTGTATGTTTCTAAGAATGTATTCATTTCTTCTACATTATCCAATTTGTTGGCATATAGCTTTTTGTAATATTCTCTTATAATCTTTTGTATTTCTGAGGTGTCCATTGTAATTTCTCCTCTTCCATTTCTGATTTTATTCATTTGAGCCTTCTCTTTTTTTTCTTGTTGTGTCTAGCTAACAGTTTGTCAATTTTGTTTGTCTTTTCAAAGAATTAGCTCTTAGTTTCTTTGATGTTTTTCTATTGTTTTTTCAGTCTCTATTTCATTTATTTTTGCTCTGATTTTTATTATTTCCTTCCTTCTAGTGATTTTGGGACCTGTTTGTTGTTCTTTTTCCACTTCCTTTAGGTGCACTGTTAGATTGTTAATTTCAGGTTTTTCTTGTTTGTTGAGGTATGCCTATATTGCTATAAATGTCCCTCTTAGAACTGCTTTTGCCGTATTCCATAAATTTTGGCATGTCATGTTTTCATTTTCATTTGTCTCCAGGTATTTTTTTATTTCTCCTTTGATTTCTTCATTGACCAAATTGTTGTTCAGTAGCATTTTGTTTAATCTCCACATATTTGTGGCATTTCTGATTTTCTTCCTGTAGTTGATTTCTAGTTTCATACCGTTATGGTCAGAAAAGATGCTTGGTATTATTTCAATCTTCCTAAATTTATTGAGACTTGTTTTGTGTCCTAATATGTGATCTATCCTGGAGAATCTTCCACGTGCATTTGAAAAGAATGTGTATTCTGCAGTTTTTGGATGAAATGTTCTATCTATATCTACTAAGTCCATCTGGCCTAATGTGTCATTTAAAGCCAATGTTTCCCTATTGCTCTTCTGTTTGGATGATATATCCATTGGTGTAAGTGGAGTGTTCAAGTCCCCTACTATTATTGTGTTGCTGTCTATTTCTTCTTTTATGTCTGTCAATAATTGCTTTATATATTTAGGTGCTCCTATGTTGGGTGTATACATATTTACAAGTGTTGTATCCACTTCTTGGATTGTTCCCTTTATCATTATGTAGTGCCCCTCTTTGTTTCTTGTTACAGTTTTTGTTTTAAAGTCTATTTTTTCTGATATAAGTATTGCTAGCCCAGCTTTCTTTTCATTGCCATTTGCATGGAGTATCTTTTTCCATCCCTTCACTTTCAGTTTGTGAGTGTTTTTAGGTCTGAAGTGTGTCTCTTGTATGCATCATATATATGGGTCTTGTTTTTTAATCCAATCAGCCACTCTCTGCCTTTTGATTGGAACACTTAGTCCTTTGACATTTAAAGTAGTTATTGATAAGAATGTACTTATTGCCATTTTGTTACTTTTTTTCTGGATGTTTTAGTAGTTTTGTTTATTTTTTATTGCAGTAACATTAGTTTATAACATTATATAAATTCCAGGTGTACATCATTATATTTCAGTTTCTGTGCAGATTACATCATGTTCACCACCCAAAGACTAATTACAATCCATCACCATACACATGTGCCTAATCACTGCTTTCATCTTCCTCCCTCCCCCTTTCCCCCCTGGTAGCCACCAATCCAATCTCTGTCTCTATGTGATTATTGTTGTTTTTTTTCAGTAGTTCTTCTCTGTTCCTTTCATCTTCTCTTGCTCTCTTCCCTTGTGGTTTGATGGCTTTCGTCAGTATTATGTTTGGGTTCCTCTCTCTTAATTTTTTGTGTATTTATTATAGGTTTCTGGTTTGTGATTACCATGAGGTTCATATATAATAACCTATATGTATAGCAATTTGTATTAAGTTGGTGGTTTCTTTAATTTGACCTCTTGCTTAAAGCTCTACTCTTTTACTCTTCTCTTCCCACATTTTATGTTTTTGATATCATATCTAACCTCTTTTTTTATGCATATATATATATGTTACCCTCTTATCATAGAAACAGATAATTTTAGTACTTTTGTCATTTGACCTTCATATTAGCTTCATAGGTGGTTGATCTGCTACCTTTACTGTATAGTTGCCTTTACCAGTGATTTTATTGCTTTTTTTTTTTTTTGATAATTTTCTTATTCCTATTTGTGGTCTTTTCTTTTCCACTTAAATAAGTCCCTTTAGCATTTCTTATAAGGCTGGTTTCTTGGTGATAAACTCCTTTAGTTTTTGCTTGTCTGGGAAACTCTTTATCTCTCCTTCCATTTTGACTGATAACCTTGCTGGGTAGAGTATTCTTAGCTGTAGGTTTTCTCCTTTCAGCACTTTATACAGTGCCACTCCCTTCTAGCCTGTAAGGTTTCTGCTGAGAAGTCAGCTAGTAACCTTATGGGGTTTCCTTTGTATGTAACTTGTTGCCTTTCTCTTGTGGCTTTTAGGATTCTCTCTTTACCTTTAATTCTTTACATTTTAATTATAATGTGCCTTGGTATGGGCCTCTTTGGTTTTATCTTGTTTGGTGCTCTCTGTGCTTCCTGTAACTGGATGTCTGTTTCCTTCCTTAGGTCTGGAAAGTTTTCAGCTATTATTTCTTCAAATAGATTCTCTGCCCCTTTGTCTCTCTCTTCTCTTTCTGGGACACCTGTAATATGGATGTTAGTGCCCTTGATGTTGTCCCAGAAGTCCCTTAGACTATCTTTGTTCTTTTTAACTCTTTTTTCTTTTATATCTTCTAAAGCTTGGGTGATTTCCTCTTTCGTCCAGCTCATTGATCCATTGTTCTGTATCATCTACTCTGCTTTTGAGTCCCTCTAGTGAATTTTTCATTTCCAGTATTGTATTCCTCATTTCTGATTGGTTCTTTTTTATGTTTTCCAATTCTTTGTTGAAGTTCTTATTGAGTTCATCCATTCTTCTCCCAAGATCAGTGAGTGACTTATGACTCTTAGTTTGTACTCTTTGTCAGGTAGGTTTTTCATTTCTGTTTCATTTAGTTCTTTTTCTGGGGTTTTGTCCTGTTCCCTTACTTGGAATGTTTTCCTTTGTCTCCTCATTTTGCCTCTTTCTCTGTGCTTTTATCTATGTATTAGGTAGGTTAGCTACGTCTCCTGATCTTGGAGAGGTGGCCTTATGTAAGAGATGCCTTGTGAGGCCTTGCAGTGTGCTTCCCTCTTGTCACCAGTTCCAAATGTTCCAGGAGTGTCTCCTGTGTGGGCTACATATGTCCTTCTGTTGTGGCAGGGTTCCTCTTGCTGCAGGTGCCTGGGGAGGTTATGCTGTCCCCCTGGCCAGCTGGTGGTAATGTTCAGCTGCGTGTGGCTGCTATAGACCTTTCAGTCACTTTGTTGGGCATGGGGAGCCCCAGCACAGTTGGTTGCAAGATGTAATAGCACATTCCTATTGCAGTTTTCTGTTAAGTGAGTAGGCCTCCACTATGGCTGGTTGCTAGGCTCAGGGGCTTGCAATTGCTATAGGCCTCTGGCCTGCAAGGCTGTTGTCAGGATCTCAGGATTGCAGCTGAGTGGGGCTGGCCCAAGGCATGGGCGCACCCAATTGTTTCAGGCTTTGGACTTTGGGGCCAATCTCCTATGTGGCTGTTTGAGAAGCACAAGTCTGCTGAAGCTGACAAGTCGCACCACCCACAAGGTCACACATCCTGTCAACACAGTCCTGCCCTGTGCATGCACCCTGACCCACTGAAATGGACCCAGTTGCCCCACTGCAGAGGCCCCACACACTCCACCAATGCAGGCCTGCACCTTGTACGTTCCCTGCTCCACAGAGGCAGACCCACTTGCCGGGCTGCAGAGGTTCCAGGCACCGCCCCCCCCATGAGGGCCCACAAGATTCCCTGAGGGCTTGCTGTTGGGTGTGGCCAGTCCCTAGGGTGGGCTGCCTGCTCTGGCTGAGGTGGATTAAATCAGTGCTCTAGTAGGTGAGGCTGTCCCCTGTGCTAACAGGCCATGGGACAAACTCCAATGGCATTTGCCAGTGTCTGTGTCAGCACAGCTGTACTAGGTCACAATAATGGCTGCTGCCATTGTCTCAGTCCCCTGGGGAGGTGGTCCTAGCCTGGGGAGGCCTCATCTCTCACTGAGATGCGCGAAGAGCCTATCAAGTGAGTCCATTTTCACCAAAGGACTGCTCATCTTTTCTTCTGGTGATTTTAGGTTGCTCTCCTAAATGGGTGAATTTGTGCGTGGGCCTTTTAAGAGCAGGCTTTTTTCCCTTATGTCCGATAGCTTTTCTGGGGGTATTCCCTGTTGAAGTTAATAGCCAGAAAAGCCAGATATTGTGACCTTTGTCTTGGTTGTGCTGAGTTCAAAAGCTGCTTATTGGGGTAATGTTCCCCTGCTCAGATCCCCTGCTCTTGCTGGGAAAGCGTCATACTTTAAGATTGCTCTTGGCTGGCCGTGAAGTGTCTCAGCCAGAAGATGGTTTTTTTCCTCTCCAGACAGGAATTTCTGCCTCTTCCAACTCAGTCAGGACTGTCCCTTTCTGTGGGGATTCTTTTTATCAAGTTTTCAGTTCTCTCTGAGGAGTAATTGTTCAAGAGTAGTTGTAAATTTGTTGTGTCCATGGGAAGAGGTCAGTTCAGAGTCCGTCTACACCACCATGTTGACACTATCCTCTCTGAGCACCACTTTTAATTAGGTTGCAACTTTCTGAAGTATCAGAACACTGCTGTATCTTTTCTATTTGCAGAAAGCATCCAATATTTTTCTTATTAATAATCTGTACCCTATTATTATCTAGGGGCTATTACTGACTCGAAAAAGAGAACTTGGGAGAGCTATTTCATTTTTGAAATTAGTGAAGCTGATTTCACTAAGAAATTAACAAACAGAAGCCATATATGTCATTTTATATGTAATTGCTGAGATGTGTTCAAAGAAAACAGTAATAAATAAATAACCCAGGAGTTTTGAAACGTTTTCAACCTAAGAGTTTTTATTCTGGTTCCATGCTCAATTAGATGTACCTACAACAGACTATAGACAAAAATAATTAGGGAGGGCTCAATAAAAATTTCCAGAAAACAAAAAAAATAGGGAATTCTCAGTTTTGCAGATCTCAGACAAGTTCTTAGGTTCTAACAGTAAGTGATAAAATCCCTAATTCAGATGAAGTAATCAATTTAAAATAAGACTGCAGGCCTTGATTATAACTACATTGACTTCCAAAAAATCTGAAGATCCTATGACAATAATCTGTCAGATTAAACTTCTGGGCATGGAGAGTTTACCAGGAGATGGAGCACAGTTTTGTGAGGACAGGGAAAATAATAGGATGATGAATGGTCGGGAAAAGCCAGAACCGATAAGCTCAAACAGGTAGGAGATCCAGGTGGGGGATGTTGGAGAAGTCTAACTTTTGTACAAACAGGGAGGTCACAGGTAGAATAAAGGGCACTCTTACCTCAGCAGAGGGGCTAGTTCCACAGTGTCGAGTGGCTGAGGTCTGTACAGCCCTGGAGGAACGCTGGCTCTCTTAAACATAGTTGCCACTAGACTGCTTTAAGGATTCTCAGAGATGGGCCTCAGCCTTCTGCTGCTATGGGTGGCTCTACGAGGGCAGGGCAGGACTGCTCGAGGTGGAAGTGTGGCGGCGATGGTGTGGCTGGCTGCTTCCTAGACCCCAGGCCGAGGACCTTCTCTGGGGAAGTGGATGTCAGCATTACTTAAGGGAGTTTTTTTGCTGTACTGGGACCTAAACTGGCCTGGAAACTGGGGAGTGATCTCATGTGCATTATTCTTGAGAGAGATTTCAGGATGTTCCAGAAATAAACGATGCCACCCCACCTCCCACCTTGGGCTTGGGGTGTTTCTTGGGGTAGGACTCTTGGGACCTGATGCCATGAGAAGAGTCCTCCGAGTCCAAGGACACCATCTCCTGGAGAGGCAGCCTCCTGGCAGGTTTCTTTTTCTTCCTTCTAGGGTTCTCCTGTCTCTGCTCTTGTAAATCTCCAGTGTCAACTTCTTTGAATGGCCATATTAGGAAAGCAGAGTTCCTCTTGTCCACATTCTCCCTAGAGAGAGAGAGATCAGGGTTACCCTGGCCTTGACGGCTGCTGTGTCTACAGAGATGTCCAAGCCGGCCCTATGGGCATTTCTCAGCTTTTTGTCTCTTGTTCTTCTTCCCATGGAATGGATCTCAAGAGTCCTGTGGGCCCTGATAGTTTGAGCTGGGCTTTATTCCACGTAATTCATTTCCACAGGCCTTTGATATTTGGGAGCCTCACATAGCACGGAGAACCTAATCATTTGGACACTGTCCTGCTCAAGTCAGTGAGTAAAGGAACAACTCCTGACCAGGAAGCCCCTTGGCATGCCTCAGAATTGACCCCTGTCCAACCCAGGATGATAAGCTTGGCCACACCACAGTCCAGTTCAGTCTTGATATACTGAACTGGAGCTTGTACAATAAAGACACTCTTTTACACCTTCAGGTTTCTCTAATTACTGTAAGGTGTACTATCAGAAAAATGTCCCCAAACTCTGAAAACAATATGATTTTTAATTAAATTTAATTGACAAAACTTAGGTATGATTATGAAGTCATACAGCTGGACTTATAATTTAGAAAATATAGTACACATGATCAACTAATATTTGACAAGAGAGCCAAGAATACTCAATGGGGAAAGGATAATCTTTTCAATAAATGGTGTTGGGAAAATTGAATATCCACATGCCTCTATCTTAAACCACTCACAAAAATTAACCTGAAATGGAAATATAAGAACTGAAACCATAAAACTCCTAGAAGAAAACGTACGGAAAAAAACTCCTCGACTCGGGCCTTGCCAATGGTTTTTTTGGATATGACACCAAAAGCACAAGCAACAAAAGCAAAAATAAACAAATGGGATGACATCAAACTAAAAAGCTTCCACACAGCAAAAGAAACAATCAACAAAATGAAGAGGCAGCCTATGGAATGGAAGAAAATATTTGCAAACTACATATTAGATAATGGATTAATGTTCAAAATAAATAAGGAACTCAAAACTCAATAGCAAAAAGGCTAATAATCCAATTAGATAATGGGCAGAGGACTTAATAGACATTTTTCCAAAGAAGATATGCAAATGACCACCAAGTACATGAAAAGATACTCAGCATCACTAAACATCAGGGAAATGCAAATCAAAACCACAATGAGATATCACCTCACATCTGTTAGAATAGCTATTACCAAAAATACAAGGGGGGGCCAGCGTGGTAGTGTAGTAGTTAAGATCGTGCGCTCCACTTTGGTGGCCTGGGGTTTGCGGGTTCGGATCCCAGGTCTGGACCTACACACCACTCATCAAACCGTGCTGTTTCAGCATCCCACATATAAAACAGAGGAAGATTGACACAGATGTTAGCTCAGGGCCAATCTTCCTTACCACACACACACACGCACCCCAAAAATACAAAAGATAACAAGTGTTGGCGAGGATATGGAGAGAAGAGAACCCTTCTGCACTGTTGGTGGGAGTGTAAATTGGTACAGCCACTATGGAAAACAGTACGGATGTTCCCCCCAAAATTAAAATTAGAACTACTATATGACCCTTCAATCTCACTTCTGAGTATATATCCAAAGGAAATGAAATCACTCACTGCATCATTATTCACAATAGCCAAGAAATGGAAACAATCTAAGTGTCCATCAATGGATGAATAAAGAAAATGTGATATCCATGTGGTATACACACAATGGAATATTATCTAGCTGGAAAAAGGAAGGAAATCCTGCCATTTGTGACAACATGGATGGACCTTGAGGGTATTATGCTAAGTGAAATGTTAGACAGAGAAAGACAAATATTGTATGTCCTAACTTACATGTGGCATAAAAACAGAGAGGAGAATGGTAGTTGCCACAGAGTGGGAGGTGGGGGGAAATGTTGGTCAAAGGGTATAAAAAAAATAAAAGAAAATATAATCAGTTTGTTTATCCAGAAGCGTTGTCCTTCAAAGAAGGCATCTTGGGAATATAGTGACCTCGTTCCAGCCATACCATCATGGCACACCATTTTGGGAACTAGTCTTTTCCAGGGCCTTCAGGGTAAGGGTAAGTTAAGGACACCAGCTGCCTGGTGTTAAACTTTATTTTGTTGCAACAATCAGTATCTACCACCTTGATCACCCAGCTTTCACTCTGAATAACTTTTGACCATTGCTGCTTCAGATCCTTTTGAAAATTGTCAAGAAAAAATTAAAAGTGCGAAAAGATTTTTAGTTATTTCTAAATAGAAAATTCCATTAGTCAAATTCCTCTTCAAAGGATCAAGATTCATCACATGTGATACTTTTCAAAGATTGGCTCAAAGACGCAGAAGGTAGTTCCGAAGAGAGATTAAAAAATTGGCCTGGCCACTTCATACTAGTTAGGATAGCTATTATCAAAAGAAGAAAAAACAAAACCAAAAGATAACAAGTGTTGGCAAGGATGTGGAGAAATTGGAACCATTGTGCACTGTTGGTGGGAATGTAAAATGGTAAAGCTGCTGTGGAAAACAGTATGGCAGTTCCTCAAAATATTAAAAATAGAACTACCGTATGATCCAGCAACTCCACTTCCGGGTATATACCCACAAGAAGGAAAGCAGGGACTCAAACAGATATGTGTACACCCCTGTTCATTGCAGCATTAGTCACAATAGCCAAAAAGTAAAAGTAACCCAAGTCCACGAACATATGAATGGATCAACAAACTGTAGTATATACATACAATGGAATATTCTTTAGCCTTAAAAACGAAGGAAATTCTGACATACGCTACACAGTCATGTGCCGCATAATGATGTTTTGGTCAACGGCAGACTGCATATACGATGGTGGTCCCATAAGATCAGAACCATATAGCCTAGGTGTGTAGTAGGCTATACCATCTAGGTTTGTGTAAGTACACTCTATGGTGATCAGACAATGATGAAATCACCTAAAGACACATTTCTCAGAATGTATCGCTGTCATTAAGTGATGCATGACTATAAAATGGATAGACCTTGAGGACATTATGCTAAATGAAATAAATCAGTCACAAAAGAACAAATACTGCATGAATCCACTTATATGAGGTACGTAGAGTAGTCAAATTCATAGAGACAAGTAATAGAATGGTTGCCAAGGGCTGAGGGGGAGAGCGAATGAGAAGGTAGTGTTCAATGGGTACAGAGTTTTAGCTTGGGATGATGGAAAAAAGTTCTGGAGCTGGATGGTGGTGATGGTTGTACAACAACATGCATGAACTTAACGCCACTGAACTTTATGCTTAAAAATGGTTAAAATAGGGGCTGGCTCTGTACTGTAGTGGTTAAGTCCAGCGTGCTCCACTTTGGTGGCCCAGGTTCTCAGGTTTGGATCCTGGGCGTGGACCTACACCACTCATCAAGCCATGCTGTGGTGGTGATCCACATACAAAATGGAGGAAGACTGGCACAGATGTTAGTTCAGGGCTAATCTTCCTCAAGCAAAAAAAAAAAAAAAAATTAAAGTAAATTTTATGCTATGTGTGTACTTTACCACACACAAAAAAATGGCCTGAGCAATAGCAGTGACATTGGACAAAGGCTTCTTGGGAGACCACAAACAAAATTATCTTTAAATATGAGGCCAGCACCTGTGTGGATGTGTCAGTTCTGTGAGGCCAGGTTCTCAGAGGCTCATCTTGAAATCACACTACAAGGTTGTAGTCACCATTTGGGCGCTGTGAAATCTACAATGTTGTCGACCACCTGATTGGCAACTATGCCTCAAATTGCTACCTCCCTCCAGAGCAGACTAAGTGGATACAATCTATTTCCTTTCAGAGGTTTGCTCTATTTCTCCTGTTTTAGGATTGGTCGTGGTCCAGTCTATAACTATAATCTCTCAGCAAGAATAATAAGGAGGAGAGAGCTGTGGGGAGTAGAGTTTTTCGGGTGTACTGAAGGCACCCAAAGAGTGAGGTACAGGAGAGGCCTACCTACCTACCTGAAGGACACCAGAAAGAAGATCTTGGAAGGAACCCAGGAAGAAGAGCAGGAAAGACCAAGAAGCAACAGGTGTCTATCTTCAGGAGGGAATTGGTCACATAAGTTATGGACCCCCTGAATAATTAAATTCTAAGCAGGCAATAAAGAAACAAGAGGTGTCCTTGTCACACAAAGATGCAAATGCTATCTTGTTAAGTGGAAAAAAAGTCACAAACAGAAAGTATGTTACATTTTCATTTTTGTTATTAGCATTGTGAATATATAAGGATGACTGGAAACCATTGCACCAAACTGTTAATAGTTGCCTCAGGGAAAAGAACTCCCGTGGAATTGTCACTTTCTCCACATTTAAAAAATTTTTTGCAACTGTCATAAATAATGAGAAACAAAAATTTTTGTTTTCAGGAAAAATAATCAACATAGCAGAGATAAGAGTCTAGAAGGATAAATATCAAAATATAAATGGTGGTTACTTTTGAAATATGGGACTATGGATTGTTTTTATATTCTTTTTGCCTTTAATTTCCAAATTATATTAACTATGCATTGCTTTGGAAGAAGATTAAAAAAATACAAGTTGTCATCATTAGAATAAAAAGCAGGATCAAGGGAAAGTCTTGACATCAAGTAAGCAGATGCTGCCCAGCCAAATTCAAGATATTCCACAAGGAAATGTCCCCTCATGGGTGGGCAGGAGCAGGGTAGGTGTGAATCTGATGTGGAAGCTCTTATCCACCCATCCTCACTCTGATTAGGCCAAACCCACTAGGAGGAAAGGGTGAGGGCGGCCATGCTCCCCACTTCCAGCCAGTGGACATTCTCCGCCAGCACGCCTGGAAAGGCCCTGCTCAATGGCTTTCTTTTGCCCTATCTCATACCAAAACTGAGTTAAATTAAGTGTCCTATTAATTATTTTAGGCTGTAAGTTTGTTTAAATAATATGACTAATAGGCCAAAACTATGTGAGTACGTGTGTGTGGGGAGGAAGGTGGGGGCAAGCCAGGCACTGTGCCTTCGTTGGCTCTTCAGAAGCAGCTGGTTCCACTTTGGGGAACAAA